GCACCCTTCAGTGGACGTGATCTTGCCACAATTCCTTCTTCTCCAATTCTCTACTCTGTCAGGACTTTGGGCACACATGCACCTACCTCCAATGTGTTTTTAAGCTTTAGAGATTACAATTTGAACCACGTAGTGAGCTATGTGAGATCTGGCTCCCTTAATTCCTGAGCCACCGAGCCTATTCAGTTTTTGGGTCTTACTGTGTTTTGTAGGCTGGCCTCCAACTCTGCATCCTCCCGTCTCAGTCTCTTGTGTAGCTGAGAGTATAGTTGTAAGCCACCATGCCTTGTAGCTAGATTTCGATTGGGTGAATTAAATAATATCAGTAGTAGTGAAAATGGGCTCGTGGTTTTGGGAAAAGATGTTACAGCAGGTTATATCCAAGGTACATTTGGGGCATGCAGAGAGAACTTAATAGGCCATTGAGTTTGAAACCATTTTTCTTTTTATCTGTATTTCATTTAAAGTATTGAACTTTCTGACACAGTTTACCTATTTCAATCTTATTGGGTAGTCGGAAAAGTCATGACACATTTTTGCATAGAAAAACATAGAAAAATACATTATGATTTCTGATGACCCGATAGTTTCATTGCTTCTTTATTTTTTCATATACTGAGATTTACTGTGGGATTTAAATTTGTGGGATTTAAACACTCTCAAAACAGTTACTGTAATTAAGGGAATGACTGCTCAATGATAACTATTTATTTATTTAACACGAACTGTGGTCGACTACGTGGGAGCCCAGCGACATAGCCATTACGCTAACTGCTGGTTCCCAATGATAACTATTAATGGAAAAGATAGTAGGCTCTTTTGGTCATTTCTGAGAGTAGCTTAGATTTTAATTTAGATAGTAATGATTATAGTTACATAGAAACTAAAGTCAGGCTTATAACATATCAAGAGTTAGTTGTGTGTGTGTGTTTTTAAATTTTTGCCAATTAAAAAAAATTTGTCAAGGGCACATGTGCTCACTGAAGAACAGAGCAAGACTGACAGGGGATGTGAGAAAGCACCCCCTCCTCAAGGGGCATGGTTACGCCACAATCCCTTGTCCTCCATCTCTCTGGTCTTTCGGGATTTGGGGCACACAATACATGCCCCGGTGTGTTTCTTAAGCTGCTGAGTTTGGAACTCCAGCATAGTCAGCCAAGTGGGATCCAACTGCCCTAACCATACCACATACTGGCCCGAAGAATTATATTTCTTCAAGTGAGTTACAACTATTTATTGATATAAATTACTTTCAAAATACTATAATACTGATTAATAAAATTTAAGATAAATGTGTTCTATAAATAATGAAATAGCTAAATCACATGCAAATCAAAACTCTTGTGTGTGTTGGCTTATGTTTAGAGACCTAGGTCTGGGGGCAGCAGGTAGCATGGTGGTTAAAGCACTGGACTCCTGTATGGGTAATCATGGTGCAAGACCTGGACTGGTAGCTTCAAAATCATGCCAGGTGTGTGAGCATGCATGCCCTAAAATCCCAAAAGGAAGATGGAGTAGAAGGGATTTGCAGCTACTTCCCCCAGTGGGGAGGTGATTTCTCTCTTTGTCTTTCTCTTACTATTTCTGATTAGTGCATGCACCCTATGGCAACCTAAAAAGAAAAAAGAAAAGGTCTGAGATACCCCTGTATCTAATTAATATGACTTTGTCATCCATTTATATTGTTGTAGTAAATTATGTTAGACATAGGCATCTTTGTTAAATTAACTGTGAATTGGTCAGGTTTTATTTATTATTGGTACCATAATAATTTAAAACAAAGATTTAAAGGAAAGGGTCCTTTGGCTGTTATTCTTGCTTTACATTTTCAATCTATTGGGTATATTTTTCTATGCAAAAAATGTGTCATGACTTTTCTGACAGCCTAGTATACCTAGAGATATTTTATGTCCTACGCTGTGGTAGGTTCTGCCCTCTCTAGTCTTGACTATACCTCCCCTCCCTCTGCCCTTTACTTAACCATGAAAGTGAACCTTTTGAAATACAGATCTGATCATGCTTCTTGGCTGTCTGTAATCATCTTGCATCCTCAGTATCCATTGAAGCCTTTTCATCTATGTTTGCCATGGCTTCATGATCAAGCAACTAAAGGAGTGGTGCACAGCAAGGGGTATCTAGGACCCTGCATCAACCATATGGCTGATGGGTCAGTGTTTGTACCATATTGATTGTTAACAAAGGACAAGCCATATTATTATCTGTTAGCATTTCTAGTATTACTACCCCATACCTCTGGTTATAACTTGTGGGATTTAAATTTGTGGGATTTAAACACTCTCAAAACAGTTACTGTAATTAAGGGAATGACTGCTCAATGATAACTATTTATTTATTTATTTTTTTTAGAGAGATTTTTCACTGTAGGGCGCGTGTGCTCGCCAGACAGACAGAGAGAGACATAGAGACAGAAAGCGAGAAATCACCCCCCAGGGGGGATGGTCACGCCGCAATCCCTTCTCCTCCATTCTCCCCTCGGGATCTTGGGCACGCACGCACACGTGCCTGGCGTGAGTTTTAAGCCACCGGGTCCGGGACACGAACTGTGGTCGACTACGTGGGAGCCCAGCGACATAGCCATTACGCTAACTGCTGGTTCCCAATGATAACTATTAATGGAAAAGATAGTAGGCTCTTTTGGTCATTTCTGAGAGTAGCTTAGATTTTAATTTAGATAGTAATGATTATAGTTACATAGAAACTAAAGTCAGGCTTATAACATATCAAGAGTTAGTTGTGTGTGTGTGTTTTTAAATTTTTGCCAATTAAAAAAAATTTGTCAAGGGCACATGTGCTCACTGAAGAACAGAGCAAGACTGACAGGGGATGTGAGAAAGCACCCCCTCCTCAAGGGGCATGGTTACGCCACAATCCCTTGTCCTCCATCTCTCTGGTCTTTCGGGATTTGGGGCACACAATACATGCCCCGGTGTGTTTCTTAAGCTGCTGAGTTTGGAACTCCAGCATAGTCAGCCAAGTGGGATCCAACTGCCCTAACCATACCACATACTGGCCCGAAGAATTATATTTCTTCAAGTGAGTTACAACTATTTATTGATATAAATTACTTTCAAAATACTATAATACTGATTAATAAAATTTAAGATAAATGTGTTCTATAAATAATGAAATAGCTAAATCACATGCAAATCAAAACTCTTGTGTGTGTTGGCTTATGTTTAGAGACCTAGGTCTGGGGGCAGCAGGTAGCATGGTGGTTAAAGCACTGGACTCCTGTATGGGTAATCATGGTGCAAGACCTGGACTGGTAGCTTCAAAATCATGCCAGGTGTGTGAGCATGCATGCCCTAAAATCCCAAAAGGAAGATGGAGTAGAAGGGATTTGCAGCTACTTCCCCCAGTGGGGAGGTGATTTCTCTCTTTGTCTTTCTCTTACTATTTCTGATTAGTGCATGCACCCTATGGCAACCTAAAAAGAAAAAAGAAAAGGTCTGAGATACCCCTGTATCTAATTAATATGACTTTGTCATCCATTTATATTGTTGTAGTAAATTATGTTAGACATAGGCATCTTTGTTAAATTAACTGTGAATTGGTCAGGTTTTATTTATTATTGGTACCATAATAATTTAAAACAAAGATTTAAAGGAAAGGGTCCTTTGGCTGTTATTCTTGCTTTACATTTTCAATCTATTGGGTATATTTTTCTATGCAAAAAATGTGTCATGACTTTTCTGACAGCCTAGTATACCTAGAGATATTTTATGTCCTACGCTGTGGTAGGTTCTGCCCTCTCTAGTCTTGACTATACCTCCCCTCCCTCTGCCCTTTACTTAACCATGAAAGTGAACCTTTTGAAATACAGATCTGATCATGCTTCTTGGCTGTCTGTAATCATCTTGCATCCTCAGTATCCATTGAAGCCTTTTCATCTATGTTTGCCATGGCTTCATGATCAAGCAACTAAAGGAGTGGTGCACAGCAAGGGGTATCTAGGACCCTGCATCAACCATATGGCTGATGGGTCAGTGTTTGTACCATATTGATTGTTAACAAAGGAAAAGACATATTATTATCTGTTAGCATTTCTAGTATTACTACCCCATACCTCTGGTTATAACTTTCAATACATTATATTAAAGTTATTTATTTTCAATATATTGAAATGGTATGTTGTTGGGTAACTTGAAATTATAGATTTCCTCTGTAGACTAAGTTTTCTCAAACTTAGGGAATCTTTCTTAGTCATTTTTTTGTTTGTTTGCTTATTTTTATTTTTGCTATAGGGCATGCGTACTTGCCAGAAAGAGGCAAAGAGAGGGGGAAAGTGAGAAATAACTTCCCAAGGAAGAATGGCTATGCCACAGTCCCTTCTTTTTGTCTCCTCCTGGAATTTTGGGCACACATGCCCATGTGCCCAGTGTGATCTTGCAGCCTCCTGGTCTGGGAGTTGAACCTTGCAGCTGGCTATGTGGAATCCAGTGCCTTAATCTCTATCCCATTTGTTGGTCCTCTTAGTCATTTGTTTTCATCTTCTGAAATTATCACATAATAGACACGTATGTTGATTGAATTAATCAACAAATTAGCAAGAGATTGTGAGCAGTCTCGGATAACTCATAGCATATCGCTGAGCACGTTTTCAGCAGCACACCGTTAATCAAACACCTCTTCACTACTTTAGGTTTTTGCCATAGGGCACATGCACTTGCTGAAAAGAGACAGAGAAAAATAGTGAAAGGGAAAGTGAGAAATCACCCTCCAGGGAGGTGGCCATGCTGCAGTCCCCTCTCCTCCATTCTCCTCCTGAGATTTTTGGCACACGCACACGTGGGCGCAGTGTGATTTTCAAGCCACCAGGTCCAAGACTTGACCCATGCTTGTCCATGTGGGAGTCCAGCACCTTAACTGCCATACCAACTGAGGTGGTACTCTCGTTTTAAAAATGTCTCAAAGGCTAAATATTTTGTTCGAAGTCTATAAGTTATATTTTGTAGAGCTTGAGTTGAACCTAAATCTGATTCCAAAGCCCAAGACTTTTCACTGTCTTGAACAACTTCTTTGCTTCCTAGATATTTAATAAATCCACTTATTTAATAAATCCATTTTAATTACTTTATTAGCATTGTTCTTTTTGAGGTTACTATTTTTAAAAGAATTATTTATTTAATTTTATTTACTATTATTATTTTTAGATATGCTATAGGACTCATGTGCTTTTATTATTATTATTATTATTATTTATAGATTTAATCACTGTACATCAGTTCAGATTGTAAAGAGACTTTACCCAGTATGATATATTTCTCAGTCCAGCCCAATTGAGAATACTATACATGTCCTCATCAACAAATAATAAACTATATCTGTGTCCCACAAATGTCTTACCTCTCTGTTTTTTCTTCAAATTTCCTTTCCTACGTTCTTCCTGTCCCACATTCTTTCCACTTTGTCTCTAGTGTCCATAACAGTTTTTACTACTTTTATGTCTCCCAGACTTTCCGTCTCTACCATAGAGTGCGGATAGTTAGTATATGTTAAGTGCAGACATACTATGTATTTCTTTCATAGCCTGACTTGCTTCACTCAGCAACTAATCTTCCATATTCATCCACTTTCTATCAAATTCCAGGGCCTTGTTGTTTCTTATGGCTGAGTAGTGCATGGAGTATATGTGCCACACTTTTTCAATCCATTCATCTGTTTGTGGACATTTGGGTTGGTTCCATATCTTAGCAATCGTGAATGAAGCTGCAATGAATATAGATGTGCAAGAGCTTTTCCGATGGAGTGTTCTCCTGTCCATTGTTTACCTTCCCACCAACAGTGTAGGAGTGTTCCCTTTTAACCACATCTCCTCCAGCACTTATCAGTTTTTGTGTTTTTAATCTTTGCCGTACTGACTGGGGTTAGGTGGTATCTCATTGTGGTTCGGACACATGTGCTTACTAGAGGGAGACAGAGAGAGAGAAAAAAAAAAACAAGCTGCCAGGTTTGTGGTTACACCTTGGTTGGCCATGTGGGAATCCAGTGATCCAACCACCACGTCATCTGCTGGCCCTTAATTAGCATTATTACAACACAGAATTCACTAGTCAGGCCATCCGGCTAGTAAATCTGGTAACCAGTTTACTATAAAAGATAACACAAAATAACAGAATATATTTAGAATGTAATTAGAGTGGCAGAGTTAATTTAAGGGAAAAAAGAGATAACATTTGACCCACTTAAAAGCCAGCATCATTTCATAGTAATTTATACCTTAATGCTATCATCTTCACTCAATATTAGGGATATATGTGACTCTCCCTATGTTGACTCAATATTAGGGATATATGTGACTCTCCCTAAGAGTAAAGGAAATTGTGCATATAAATGTGCAAAATGTCAGTATTGAATATTTCCCCTAAGAATTATTTTATGGTAGAGTAGTAACATTTGGATTCCTCATGCATTATGTAAAGATATGTGGGGGCCAGCAGGTGGCGTAGTGGTTAAGGCACTGGACTTCTTCATGGCCTACCACTGTTTAAGTCCTGAACCTGGTGGCTTAAAAATAACACTGGGCACATATAATTGAGTGTTGCTCAAAATCCTGAGGGGACAGTGGAAGAGAAGGGACTGCAGCTTGGCCATCCCCTTCTAGGGGTGATTTTTCACTTACCCTCTTGCTGTCTCTCTTTGGTAAGCACATATGCCCTATGGCAAAAACCTTTAAAAAAGAAAGAAGAAGATACGTGTATCAGGGTCCTGATGGTGGCACAGTGGTAAAATATGATACTCTCTAAGGCAATTCCACATAGACAGGTTCTTAGTTTAAGCCTACAGATTTCCTTGAATATTTAGGGCACCTGCTTTCCTATGATCTGGGGCTGCTGAAGGCCGAGGTCCGTCCTGCGTGTCCCTACCTCTTCCTTGGTCATGAAATTAATTAATTAATTAATTATTTTAAAAGATGTGGGTCAGAAGACATATGAATAGATGATTTTAATATACTCAAGAACACAACACATACTCAATACTTAGATGTTTACATTTTTTTTTTCCATTTGTTGTTAACATAGGAAGGGTTCCATTTGGGATAGGAAGTGAATCTTTTGATGATATGTTATTTCTTAACTGTATACACGCTAGAAACTGTATGTTTTAGAGCATTGGTTATACCAGAGAAGCATAGGTTTCAATTAAAGAGAAAGAAAGAAATTCCTAAACAGATCTCTTACTTGTGGTCCAGAAGCTCAGAAACATTGCTAGGTTGAGGCCCATCTAATCTAGAATTTATTTTATGTGTTTATTTGTTTTGTTTTAAGACCAAAGTTATAGTATGGATATTTAACTTCTCGTTAAGACTTACATTATCTTAACTGTATACACGCTAGAAACTGTATCTTTTAGAGCATTGTTTTGTTTTAAGACCAAAGTTATAGTATGGATATTTAACTTCTCGTTAAGACTTACATTACTGGAGTGAGGTCTTTTGTGTGACACAGTTTGCGATTATAATGAGAAAAAGATGTAGTAAATAAGTATCACTGATTCACATTCTCACTTTCAAAAAATGGATGGTTAGAGAAAAAAACTATAATAGTCATTGTTATTGTAGAAACAGACTGCTATTTGTACCAACTTTAAAAGAAGCCTCCACTTTAAAAACAAACAAAATCCTAAAACCTCACAGGCTTCTAAAAAATAGATTTTTTATTTGGAGTTACTTTTAAACTAAGATGTCAAATTTTTGTAATGAAAATTCTATGTAAATGGTAAGCCTCATTTTTCTGAATTGGGCTCATAGCACTAAGGCCAGATGTATGACCCTTAACTTAACAGTCATGGGAGTTGAGAAGTTACTACTCAGGAAACTGAGAAAATAGTAAAAGGTTTTCACTCAATTAAGCTTAATCCGCAGGCAAAGATGTTAATTTAGAAGACTCTGAGACACCATTTATGTTATTTTGGCAATTCTAACTCTCTGGGTGTGATTAAGGAAGCAATTGCTAGCTTTATGCCAAGAATTCTAGATGAATTAAGAATTAATTAAGAAACCACCTTAAACTTGGCATTGACTCCATATTTGGTTATAGTTCTGAATGGTTTCTGTATAATTAAAAAAATAAAAGTGAAACGAGTCACCATTGGGTGTTCTTAATGAAATAAAATTAATGAAGTAGTTTTACTGTGTATAAACCATGCCATTAAAAGAAAACTATGTGTGGTATTAATTACATGTAGTAAGTTGGCTTAATAAACTGAGAATGGGTTTTATAAGTAAAAAGTTGCTTGTGACTTTTGAAAGAAGATAATAGAAGATGAAGATCTTAATATAAATGTATATAATAGATTTAAAAATTAATGTCATAAAAACTTTCATTTTCTTTTAGAATACTAAGTTGATATAGCCTCTCGATCTTCTGAAAAAAAACAGAATTTGCTATTAACTTGGAACATAAACTTTTTTTTTTTAACTTTTTTAGGTCATGCTCTTAAACCTCAGGTTTCCTCTATTTTTACATCATTTTTGGATGGATTAAAAAAGTTTTATATTACAAAGGTAAGAATTTTTATAAATTGCTAAAAAATTTCTTTTTCTTTTCTTTCCTTTTTTTTTTTGCTAGAGGTTGTGTGCACTTGCCACAGAGAGAGAGAGAAAGTATCCAAGTATCCCCATAGATGCATGGCTGTGCTGCAATCCTTTCTCTTCCATCTCTCCCACCTTTTGGGGCATACATGCATGCACACCTGGCTGCCGTGTCCAGAATTTAAACCATGTGGTCAGCCATATAGAAATCTGACTGTCTTAAGCACCAAGCCATGGAGCCAGCCCCAAATGCTTACACTTTAAATGCTTACGATACTATTTCTTGCCTTCTCCTCATGTACACCTTTTTAAGGATATTTTTCCATACTGCTGCATACATTTCATAAGTATAATTTTTTATGTAGGAATAAATACTCTTATCAAAATAAAATAAGCTATGGAGTCAATTTCAGGAATTTTTACTTCTTTTCCAGCTTTTATGTTTCTAAGAATAACATTGCATTGAACATTTTCATGCTTACATTTTTTATATTATGAATTCTTTCTTTTATATTAGGCATATAGAAGTGAATTAAGAGTATGGACTTTTTTGTTTTATTTTTGATTGCTGAATTGCTTTTCTAAAAGATTATACCAGTGTATATTGCCACTTGTGGTATATGTATGCCATTTTTTGGTTTTGAGGTTCTTTTTACTTGTGGCATGCAATTTTGTTATGTTCTAAAGTAGAAGAAAATAGTACTTCATTGTAATTGCTGCTTCTTGAAATTCCAGTGAGAATGAACATTTCCCATTATTTCTAGATGTATTTTTTTGTATGAATTAGTTGGTTATGGTTATTTTGCCAAAGATGGTAATGACATGTTTTTTTTCTTGGTGTTTTGATGCCTGCACGTTATGGGATTACTAGATGCCCTTTGTCATAAATAATTGTAAATAATTTATTCTAGTCAGGTGCCTCCCTTTTTAATTGTTTTTTTTTTCTTCTTGGTGTAAAAATTTCAAAATTTTGTATTTTTTTTCTGTGATTACTTACTTCTAAACTTAGAAAAAAGAGTCTTCTTTCTTCTAAAAGTATGATCTGAGCCTCTTTTTTTCTTTCATTCTTTTCGTTAAATGGAAGTTCTTTAATGTTACCTTTTTATTATTGAATTAACTTCAATTTTATAGATTGATAGATCTAAATTAATTTTTACCCCCTACTCTTCCTATTGCTAAGCTGTTGTGGCAGTACCCTTAACTAACCAATCTCTGCTGCTCATGCATTGCCATACTAGGCCTAAGACATTTTCTTATATACTATCTGAGAAATAGAACCCTTTTAATGTATCTAATTGTTCTTTTTTTTTCATACCTAAAGATCTTTTCTTAATTTTTAATTTTTTTCTTTTATACAGTCAATCACATTATTTAGCTACATTGTTCTTAATGAATTTTGTTCTTGAAAAGTGTAAATGGAGTCAGTTATGATAAGTCTAGGTTTTTGTCTTGTTTTTCAGAATTTTCCTTGTTATAAACCATCAATTGTTTATTCTAGAAAAATTTTAGAAACTCTTCATTATTGTAGAATGTTTATTGGGGTTTTTATTAGAATTGGAATAAACTAATATGTTAATTTGGGCAAGAATTGGCAGTTTCTGGATTCCGGAGCTTGTATCTTTCTCATCTTTTTTTTTTTGGTGAGAGATTTTTTCACTATAGGACGCGTGCGCTTGCCAGACAGACAGAGAGAGACATTAGAGACAGAAAGCGAGAAATCACCCCCCAGGGGGGATGGTCACGCCGCAATCCCTTCTCCTCCATTCTCCTCTCAGGATCTTGGGCACGCACGCACACGCGCCCGGCGTGAGTTTTAAGCCACCGGGTCCGGGACGCGAACTGCGGTCGACTACGTGGGAGTCCAGCGACATAGCCATTACGCTAACTGCTGGTTCCCTCTCATCTTTTTTTAGACATGTTTTCCTAATGAAGTTTTGCATTTCTTTTAAAATTTATTCTTAGATACTATTTTAGCTTTATACATAAAATCTCTTTTGAAAGTACTATTTAATAAAAAGTTATTGTTGGTATGTAGAGATTCTTTTAGTTTTTACTTTTACTTCCTATATCTAACTCTTTATCCTATAATTTTCTAGTCTTCGCTTTATTACAGTTAAAATTCTGACAAGTTACTTATCGCATTTATATACCAATATGTCATTATGACTAACTCCATGGCATACTTTGAAATAGTGTTTTTTCTATGGAACATAGTTTTCTCTTAATGAGAATGCCTGTGTTAATAGACACATTAAGCAGTCTTGCTGAGTGATGTGTAAAGTCACAAAGTTCAATTTTTACGAATTTGGTGTATTTGAGCCCCAGGTAAGAGGAAAAAGAACAAAAGGTGTCTAGATTGACTGTTTTATACAATAAGACTTATCTGTAATAATACATTTTTATTTTATTTGTTTTAGTTTAAAGGATTTGATCCAAATCAGCTAAGTGTAGCAACATTACTGTTTGAGGGAGATCGGGAGAAGGTTCTTCAGCATGAAAAACAAGTATATGACATTGCTGCAAAATTTGGGTATGACTTTAAGTTCAAATTACCAAGAGAAAGTTAAGCTAAGATTGTAATATCTGAAGTAATTATTCATGTACCAGACACTCATGCCTCCAAATAAATCCTATGTCTCTAAGCAGTTATTAATTTAAATTTAGTATCAAATTTGTTGTATTTATGATAGTAAATTTAAAATATTGTTTTGATTTACTTCCAAAACTTGTAGAAAGTTAGTTCAATAAGTTACTCTTCTTCGTCTAATATATATATTAAATATTTTATTGCATTTTCCTGACTTTTATATTAATTTCAGTTTTGTGATACTTGTGCTAGAATGAAATAGTGATAATAGTGTGTGTGTGTGTGTGTATGGCGTATGTTTTTAAAAGGAAATTGTGTTTAATCAGAGGTATTTGATAAATTATCTATACCCCACCCCCTGTCATTTACTGTTTTGTGCTAGTATAAAGAAACACAAAACATTTCCCATCCATAACCCACTGAATAATGATAGGGTGGTTTCTGTCTGTCTGCTTGATGGATTATAAGATTGATCGATGAGAACTATAGTGAAAATGCCATTTATCAGGACTATATTTTCCCCTTTCCTTTTTAAGTACATAAACTAATGGTTTTCTGGATATCTATCTTTACTTTTATTTTTGATTTCAGAGATTATGCACATTATGCTGAGTCTGAGTTCTTTGTTAGTATTCACTTTTATTACTTTTTTTAAAAGAAAAATGAACACTTAATTTGCAGCTATGTATCGTAGAATGTCCCACTTTTATGGACTTTTCTCATAAGTAATTTAAGTCCTTTATTTGTAAGATTGTCTGAACTTAGTGTTAAAGTATTGTATTCTTAGTGTTAAAGTATACTATTCTTATTTTCTATAAAAGGGCTTCTAATTTTTTATTTAATTTTTAATTTATTTTTGTACTGCTATTGAGTATCGAAAATTAACTTCTCATTTTTACTCCCTATAGTGAAATTGGCGAGTGGCATTTTAATTTCATTAATCTTTTATCTTTTTTTCTCCCAGATCACCTTTTTTGGAAATTACTGATACTCGAATATAAATTAGTTAAAAGTAATTATAACATGATGATTCATTTAATGACCAAATAGCCTGAATTTCAGATCATTTCATTTTCATTTAAAATTTTGAAATGCACATATTTCCCAACCCAGAAAGAATTTAGCTTTAAATTTAGTTTTAAGTTATAAGTAGTAAATTTAATTTGATTGACTTTTTTCTTAAAACACATATTATAAACAAGGCTGCTTAAATTGAAATGTTTCCTATCTGCTCTAGCCTTGAATACTAAAGATTGATACTTAAAAAAATTTTCCATTGTATATTTAAATATTTAACATTTTCAAATTTTCCAGAAGAAATGTAGAGAAATGAAGAGGATATTTTGCTATAATCATTAGGGTTAAATTTCCTTAGCTTCACCTCAGTTCTTCCCTTCTCCCACAACACACATACATACAGACACATGCTTGTATATACAGAGTAACTCTATTTTGTAGGATCCTTTAATTATAATTGCAATTCAGAGTAACTAGCAAATCCTTACTACTTAGTAATGTGCCTCGTTTTCCTGTTAAGCCGAAGTGGGATGATGACAGAAATACTGTGTGTCCTACCACACATGTCATTTTTATAGAACATTACCTGTCTCAGGTTCTCAATCACCATTGAAGCCTGGTACATACTTGTTGCTTGATTGAATATTTATTGAATAAATTACTGAAACTTGTCAGAACCATTTTGTCAGTTTTGCATAGTTTTAGCCACCACCTGTCATGAGCATCAGTAATGCCAGTTTTGTTTTCTTATGTAACAATCTCCCAACAGTTTAGACCATTTTTATATGTTGTCTTTGCCATTTTTCTCTCTTGCTTTCCACTCCCACTGTTAAACACCTTTAAACACATATGAACCAATAGAATATAGTAGCCAAATATTGAATAATTATACTTTGGTTGTTTATCCTTGTTTACTAATAATTCATTTTAACTTAATGTAAGAACCAAGCAAAATAAACATTACCTGTCAGCATTCATGACATGTTTTGACATTTACCATAGAACTTAATATATTATTGTTATTTTTAAAGTGTGTGCTTACTTTGTTTAATGTAATTCAACATGAGAGTGATTAGGATCACCAGATGGCCCTTTTATATAAAAAGATTGAATCTCACTCCTCTTTCATTAGTCTTCCCAATCCTTTCTCATTAAATAGCTTTTAATTTATTTAAGATAAATTGTGAACTGATATTTGAAATTTGTGGATTGAGCTGTGATTGGGGATGGATGTTGCTACTTTCACATAAAGCATTTTGAATCTGAGTGTGGTTTTTTGGAGTGGTGAAAAAAGTAGTAAATTAGAAATAATTTCATTTCTAAGCCCTGCTATCATTTGCATATTGTATTTAAAATAATTCTGGCTAGAAGATCAAAAGTTCTAAAGCTGAAAAGAGAGAAGTTCTGGGAAGCTATTAGTAAATTTCCAGGAGTGCCTGTGATTCAGAAATTTGAGACTTTTAGATTGAATTTTCCTTTTCTTTGGGATTTATGACTTTATACCTGGGACTAGAAATGAAAAGTAGGACTTTCTGACACATCAGAGACAGACCTACTAAATGTTCACTCTTGACACTTCTCACCAGATAACAAAATTCTCAATAAAGGGATCTTGTACCTGTTTTAGTCGTTACTTTCTTTTACTTCTCTTCTACATGGGATGAACTGTTTCTTTTTCCCAACTCTGTTGTGTTTTTTTCTCTCTAGGACTCAGAGTCTGACTGTTTAATATCTAGCTATTTTCTTCCAAGCACTTGTCACAGAAATTGTCTGACTAGTTTTTTAAAAAAAAAAAAAAATTCTTTTGGCTGTCTACTTTCAACTACACATGTAAACCAAAACTGTTTGTCTCTTCTTACTTTTTACTTTTAGCTGCTTGAACTAAATTCTGTCTTGTTTGTTAACATTCTGTTAATATAAACGATCCCCTTTATTTCATTCAACCACATCTTCAAGTAGTTCTAGACAAGGCTACTATATCAAATCTTTGCCTTTCCTTCTAGATGACACTAATGCATATATATCCAATCTGTAATAGTAAGTCAGAAAGTTCCGATTTAATCTGTATGGTCTATGCTGAAATTGCTGAATGTTATTTGTATGGAACAAGGGTACATCTACATTATATTTTCTTATTTACCACCAAATCCAACAAAATTTCAGGAATAGAAAGGATAAAACTGTAAGGTATTGACTGAGGCCATAGGATAATGATTTTTCTGTTAGTTGACTAAAAAAGAATTAAAATTTAATTTTGCACGATAATCATAATTAAAACTATTTACTATAGGTACTAGAAAATAATTTGTAACAAATTAGAGTATTCAAACTGAATTATATGTTATATGGGGCTAATTCTGACCATATCACCAAATACAATTTTTATGAATATGACTACTTTCATATTGAATGGGGTTCTTAATATGTTCACAGTATGTTCATAATAATGACCTTACCTTGTTGGTGGTCTTGCACAGATCTCTGTTTTATTTTGTAATTTCATTATCAAGTATATTATGCTTGTGAAAATTATTTCAGCTTTCTTTATTTTTTAGGTTTTGCTAGAGGGCTTATGTGCTTGCCAGCGACACACACACACACACACACACACACACAAACAGATTCTACTCTTGATACAATCCACTCCACACCCCAAGCCTCCTGGCCAGCCAGGATTATGGGCACACCCTGGGTGAGCCCAGCATATTGAGGTTGACCTAGAATCTGAGCCCAGGGCCTTCTCACTTTGCTCTAGTATCATGCAGTAGAACTCTACTGACTGTTCTACCATTTGAGTCAGTTTTGTTAGTTTGGTGGATGAAAGTTTGAGTTTAATGATGAAGTTGAAATTTTTTCAAATTTAAAAGTATTTTAAATTTTTTAGTTTACAAACTTTTTCTCTTCATAGCTCTCTTTTTCCTTTTTCTTATTTTTGTTTTTTTTGAAAGGTTTTCGCTATAGGGCTTGTGCGCTCGCCAGACAGACAGAGAGAGACATAGAGACAGAAAGCGAGAAATCACCCCCCAGGGGGGTATGGTCACGCCGCAATCCCTTCTCCATTCTCCTCTCTGGATCTTGGGCACGCATGTACACGCGCCCGGCATGAGTTCTAAGCCACTGGGTCCAGGATGTGAACCACGGTCGACTATGTGGGAATCCAGTGACATAGCCATTACGCTAACTGCTGTTTCCCTTTTTTTTTTTTTTTGAGAGAGAGATTTTTGCTATAGGGCGCATGCACTCACCTGAGACAGAGAGACAGAAATCGCTTCCCCCCAGGGGAATGGGCACACCTCAGTCCCTTTTCCTTCATTCTACTCTCGGACTTTTGGGCACACATGTAGTTTTCAGTCACCAGGTCCAGGACTTCAGCCATGGTTGACTACATGGAAATCCAGCAACGTAACTGTTATGCCATCTGCTGGCCTCATCTCTCCATAGCTCTTTAAGATAAATGAGATTAAGATAAAACTAGGATGCAGTGTAGTATATGTTAATTTGATAGGCAGTTATCTTGACATAGCACGTAAGTTTAGTTTTATATGTTTTTAATAGTTCATTCGAAAAATTAACAGTTTATTCTTCAATTGCAGTGGGCTGGCAGCTGGAGAAGATAATGGGCAGAGAGGTTATTTGCTGACCTATGTCATTGCATACCTCCGAGTGAGTTATTTTGTATTTCCTGTCACTTAATTTATGTTGAAAGTAATGCTTTTTTTTCCTGACTTTGAATGAATGAAATCGTCGTTTTTATTTTCTTACATTTTAAGCTATCATAAGTTAGTATATCATTTACATTAACCCTAGATTAGCCACAAATCTTCAGAAACCTATTTAAATTTTGAGTGTGTGCTTTTGAGGAACTTTAAGATAATTCAATACTCCTCTTGCTCTTTGAAAGCATGGAACCTTTCCTTGTCTGAAAGTTGGGCATGCTTAGACGAAAACTATTTTATTTAGATTGTATTTCTCATGTGATTCATAATCTGTTTTAAAGTCATATATATCTTTGTGTCTTTAAAGATATTTAACTTAATTCCAAATAGCTGTTAGTTGACTGGTGATGATTACTATAGAGAATTAAAGAAATAATTTACATGTATTTGAGCACTAAAATTTTTTTAATTCTAGATTTTCTGTGTATGAGAAACTTTGTTAATCATATTAACCTCAAGTTTGTTGTATTTTTACTGATATGAACTTGTTCTTTTGAAATTTTATTTCTTTATTTAGTTTATTTTTCTATTTTGGCTATTACAAACTCATTTCCTAATTGCTTTCTGCTTTTGCTAGATTTAGTTTTTTGTTTTAATTTTTGCCTGTTATATCATGTGAAGGGTCATATTGTAAAAGCTTATTTCATAGACTCCTATTGAGAATTCAGCTTCCCCAAATAGTGAATTTTCTGATTTTTTCACTTGTAAATGGTTTTGAAGGAAATACTTGTGTAAACATAAAACAATTTGTTTCTACTCTAGGAAAACTTGAATTAATACATTTTTATTTTAGAGATAATTTAATCCTCAGATATAAATTTTAAATTGCAGTGGTTTAAAGCATATAGTCTTCCTCCCTTCCTGCCCCCCAGTGATGCTGACAAAGATAAGCATGTTTATTGCTTGTTTGCCATGTTAGAAATTCTGATTAAGAGATGGTTAGGACCAGCTCTGTGAAGCAGTAATAATGTGCTGCTTGAGAGAAGCTGGACCTCACATAATGACCATGGTTCAGCTACCTGGCTGGTCAGCCGCAGGCAAATGCCCAAGGTCCGAACGGCTGGATATTAGAGCATGGTAGTCACAACATGACCAGGTCCTGTGGAGGGTCAGTCTCTCTTTCACCCTCATGTGCACACACTCTGTAATGTATAGGAGATGTACAGATCATGAATACTAATAGATGATTTTAAACCTTATAAATAATGTCTACCTCATAGATTATCAGTACCCGAGATTCTCTCCATAGTAAGTATTTTGAGTATACATAAAATTTTATTTTTCAAAGTTCCAGTTAATGTTGAAGCTGAATCAAAAGTAAGTTAGGGATTTCTTCCTCCCTGAAATAATTCTTTTAATCTTAAAAAAAATTTTTTTCCAGTGCATAATACCATTATCACCAAATATGTTGTTACTGAACAAATAAATGAGTGCATAACAGAAAAATAAACATTTTATATCAGTAATTTGGGAATTTTTCCTATCATCCATTGGTAGAATTGAAGTGATTCATTTTACAAAAAGTGAAAACTTAAAATGTAATGATTTTTCTCTTTAAAATTTTTCTTTTAAATCTTTGCACTTATGTAGTTATTTATGAATCTTTCCAGTTTTGATAACAAAATAGAATTGTACTCTGGATAAAGGAATTAAGTACTATATGTTATCTGTAATGTAAACATTGTGTCTGTGTACTATAAAATATTTTTGCTAGGTAGGTGCGTCCAGATGGTCTGTCTGTCACACTAAAGAGAGTCACTGTATTTTTAAAATTTGTTTTTAAAGAAAAGATTTTAAGAAAGGAAAATATTTTCTTCACCTTCCTTTTCCCACTTGTTTATTCTCCTGCTCCTTCAGCCCCGATGACCAATTTTTTACATAGGTTACTTTGTTATGTAGGCCATTAAACATCTATTCTGCTGGTGTTGTGTACATGTACATAGGCTGTTCCTGGCTAGATACTCCATTCACTGGAGGAAACTTTGAGTTTCTGACCTGTGTCGGGCACTCTGCCTGGTGCCAAGGTTACAGAGGAGAATAAGACAAGGTTCCCATCCTTATGAAGGTCATATATATCCCTCACTTACAGGGCAATGTCTCCATGCTCTTCTGAGGTGGGCAATAAAGAGCAGTAAGGTTAAGTTAGAAATGTGTAATACTCATGAGCACATGAAATACTAACAGTGAACATGAATTACTAACAATGTTATTATTTCTTCTGCATCTGTTATAGTTTCTTGATTTTTGTATATGTGTCTTAACAGGACTTGGGTTTAGAATACTATGTATTAGGAGAATCTTTTGAGACTTCTGCTCCTTGGGACAGGTAAAATAATGAAATGCCTGCTATTCAAGTATACTATATCAGTTGCTGGAATAATTTACCTGTGTGTATAAATATGCAAACTTTGAAAATTTTATGAAGAATCATTGAAATGAGGTGGCTACTTTATTTAAATGTCTTCATCAGAATGCCATATTTTTAAGCCTTTTTTCTTTTTTTGGAATGGAGATAAATTTGAGCCAAAGAATGAAGTTTTTGTTGAAGTTTATATTTTTAAGAGCCTATTGAGCAATAAATGTTACTATATGTTTTTTTTAGCTTTGATTTAAATTAATAAGTGATTAATGTGCTTAAATTTTTCTCTATAAAAACTCCCAAGATGATAAAAACAATTAACCTTTTTTTGTAATATTTAGCTTTCCCTATTTATGTGTGTATATACCAAGTAAGATCTTGATTTACAGTTAATGATTTCTGGAAGAAATTCCATTTAAGAAATTAAGTATAATTTGTATTTTTATGTTTAAGCAAAATTCTAAAGAAAATTTTGAGTATATTATAAGAAATCTAAATAAGATAAATGGAAATAAATTTCAGAAGACTTTCTTGTTAGAAACACACACATACACACACATACACACACCCCTGTTAGGCATTAATTATAACTGGGAAATGTGAAATGGTTTTATTTAAAATGGACTGTGAGTTAGTTGTTCAGAATAAAAAAAATTTTAGGAGAGGGACCAGCAGATGACATAATGCCTACATCGCTGGACACCTATGTAGTCGACCGCAGTTCAAGTCTCAGACCTGGTGGCTTAAACTCATGCCAGGCATGTGTGCATGCATGCCCAGGATCCCGAGAAGAGAATAGAGGAGAAGGGATTGTGGCATGGCCATCCCCCCTTGGGGGTGATTTTTTGCTTTCTATCTCTCTGTCTCTCTCTGTCTTTTTGGTGAGTGCATGCGCCCTATAGCAAAAGCCTCTCAAAAAAATATTTTTAGGAGATTTTTAGAATTTTTTTTTATTTTTGTATCTTGTATGCCTGTCTTATATTCTTTAACATTTTATAAAGTATTTTAAACTTACAAAAAAGTAGGTAGGATATGACAAACTTCCTTTAGTCTGCCTCTTAGGTATTGCATATCTTAACATTCTCTTCTCCTCCAATTTTTTTTTTTTTCTCACCAGAAAATGTTTTACTTTCCTACATTTAGTCTTCATCTCTTATGAATTATATCTTTTGGTGCATGCTCATATTCCATGCATTGCTACATATTAACCCAATTTATAGTATCGCTGTGTCATTCACTGTCTTTGATGTTAAATGTTAATAAGGTGAATAAATCTTACAAATAAAAAGAATTGCCAACTCATTGACATGTGACACTTTTAAGTGGCAGAAATAGTTTAATAGCTGCTTGTTTTACTCTCCAAGACCGTTTTAGCCTTTAATACATCTATTTGCTATAGGTCAGTTTGGATTGCTCTATAGGATGCCATAGACTGTGTGGCTTAAATGTTCTTAAACTACAACATTCATTTATTTTAGTCTGTGGGCTCAAAATCCAAGACCACCAGGGTGTCAGTGTGGTAGAGGTTTTGGTGGAGACCCATTTCCTGGTCTATAGAAGGCTCTTGTCATTGTATTGTCACATGGGGGAGAGCAGAGAGAGAAAGCAGGCTCTCTTGTGTCTTTTTATAAGGATAATAATCCCATTCAGGGGGGCCCCACACCTATCACCTAATTAACTCCTAAAGGTTCCACCTCCTAATAACATTACGTTAGATATTAGAGTTTCAACTTAAAAATTTTGTCGGGGCACACAAACATTCATTCCATGTCATTATGAAAAGTAGGTTAGTATAGTGTTACCTCTTCAGCATTATGAATTTCCTTATCATCGTTAATACCAACTGATAATTACCATCTTGTCTGTTTATTCTTTTGTGGGAGCTAATCATGTGCTATCTTTTTATTTTTCTTCATCTCTTCCATGTATTTACTTACAAATTTATATAATTAACTCACTGATAATTTCTGTTTTATGCAGGTTTACATTTTTTTAATTTAATTTAATTTTTTTTAAGAGATTTTTGCCAGAGGGCATGTGCACTTGCTAAAGAAAGACAGAGAGAGACAGTGAGAGGGAAAGTGAGAAATCACCTCTCAGGGGGATGGCCATGCTGCAGTCCCTTCTCCATTCTCCTCCTGGGATCTTGGGTACGTAAGGGATTGCGGTGTGGCCATTCCCCCTGGGGGGTGATTTCTTGCTTTCTGTCTCTCTGTCTCTCTGGCGAGTGCATGCACCCTATAACAAAAACCTCTCCAAAAAAAAAAAATCTTGTGGTTAAACTTAAGGAATAGATACAAGCAGACATAGTGTAAAAGGAAGGAAAATAAAGGCCTAAGACAGAAGTCCAGGGAACCACAACATTTTAGGGAGAGTCACACAAAAGCTGGCAAGGGAGATTGAGGAATGAGCTCTAGAGATTTGGAGGAAATTCGATAATATGAGAAGAGCTCAGAGAAATTTTCTTTAAAGAGAAAATTGGCAACTGTTAAATTGGCTAGGAATTTAAAAGTATGTGTGGTTAATATTTGTATCCTACAAAGTTATTGGCCCAAATGAATTGAATTGACCTTTGATCAAGTTCTGTGAGAGAATACCTTCAGAATTCCTTCACAACAGATCATTTATAGAACACATTCAGTCCTGCTCTTTCTTCTCTCTCTTCATCATTCAGCCACCGGGGAGGGTTTAGATAAGAGTGGTTCCTAACGTGTCCCAGGTTTCCTATTGTGTTTGTGATGATTGGATACACTTAAATGCATTTAAACTGAAATAGAGTCTGCCCAATAGTTTAACTTGCAAAAAAACTGTAAAACCAAATGAATTGTAATTTCTACCCCTTTTTTTTTGTTGCAGCATTTAAATTCCATTTTTAGAGACAAGATAAAGAACTCGTTACATTTATAAACTTATTAGATTCATTAACCCAGTAGATATTAAATCTTAGTAGATTTTATTTATATTTAAAGTATTTGTTTAATAATGCAGACTTTCAAAATAGAGACAGTGCATGTATGCCAAAGATCCCGAGAGGAGAATAGATGACAAGGGATTGCAGTGTGGCCATCTCCCCTGGGGGGTGATTTTCCACTTTCTCTCTCTCTTTCTCTCTCTCTCTCTCTGTCTCTCCAGCGAGCACACACACCCTATAGCAAAAATATATCTTTAAAAAAAAAATCAATAATCTGAGTGCTCTATGAGGTATTTTTATAAAACATGCATTCTTACCAATCCATAAATGAGGAATAGTTAACATTAATACTCATATTTACTCACAGATATCAAAAGTAAAAGCAGAATTTAACTTAAGAGAATTGCATTGTAAAATTTGTATTTATTCTTATTATAAATAAGTATAATTTAATGTGTTTTATAAAGCTTAATCTGTTTAAGTGTTTTTGTTTTATCACACTTGTTTTCATACACTCAAGTCAGTTCCTGAGACTAGAGATAATCCCGCCTTTTAAGTTTCTTCACTATCTTTTCAATTCATGATACTAAGCTGACCAAAGTTTAAAAGCACAGACTCAGTGTCAGTATGACCCTAAGGATGCTTATTGGGGAATAAAATGGCTTAAATATACATTCACCTTGAGAGCGAATTTTCCAGATGAATCAAAATATTTAATTATAACAATATGTTGTAACTCACATTCCAAAATAGATGAAACACAAAATAGATTAATATTGTTAAATATTGTTAATCCCCCTTAAGGATTATTTCTGTCCCTCATCTGTCTGTTTTCATTGATTTTTTTTTTAATATCAAGTAGTCTAGCATAATACATTAGCATTTCACACATAGTATATATCCAGTAAGTTATTGTCAAGTTAGTTTTCAGCCTGGGAATAGGCTGTTGAACATTTGTCATAACATGACTTGTTAGTTGAATTCTTTTTTTAAATAATTATTTATACCTTATTTATTTATTTTGCTTTATTTGGCCAGAGAGGGACAGAGTAAGAGAGAGAGAGAAGGAAAGATAGAAAGCAAACTGCCAGGTCCAGGACTCAAACTTCAGTGGGCCATGTGTGAGTCCAGCATCCTTAACTGCCAGCCACCTACTGGCCCCTTAAATGCATTTAAACTGAAATAGAGTCTGCCCAATAGTTTAACTTGCAAAAAAACTGTAAAACCAAATGAATTGTAATTTCTACCCCTTTTTTTTTGTTGCAGCATTTAAATTCCATTTTTAGAGACAAGATAAAGAACTCGTTACATTTATAAACTTATTAGATTCATTAACCCAGTAGATATTAAATCTTAGTAGATTTTATTTATATTTAAAGTATTTGTTTAATAATGCAGACTTTCAAAATAGAGACAGTGCATGTATGCCAAAGATCCCGAGAGGAGAATAGATGACAAGGGATTGCAGTGTGGCCATCTCCCCTGGGGGGTGATTTTCCACTTTCTCTCTCTCTTTCTCTCTCTCTCTCTCTGTCTCTCCAGCGAGCACACACACCCTATAGCAAAAATATATCTTTAAAAAAAAAATCAATAATCTGAGTGCTCTATGAGGTATTTTTATAAAACATGCATTCTTACCAATCCATAAATGAGGAATAGTTAACATTAATACTCATATTTACTCACAGATATCAAAAGTAAAAGCAGAATTTAACTTAAGAGAATTGCATTGTAAAATTTGTATTTATTCTTATTATAAATAAGTATAATTTAATGTGTTTTATAAAGCTTAATCTGTTTAAGTGTTTTTGTTTTATCACACTTGTTTTCATACACTCAAGTCAGTTCCTGAGACTAGAGATAATCCCGCCTTTTAAGTTTCTTCACTATCTTTTCAATTCATGATACTAAGCTGACCAAAGTTTAAAAGCACAGACTCAGTGTCAGTATGACCCTAAGGATGCTTATTGGGGAATAAAATGGCTTAAATATACATTCACCTTGAGAGCGAATTTTCCAGATGAATCAAAATATTTAATTATAACAATATGTTGTAACTCACATTCCAAAATAGATGAAACACAAAATAGATTAATATTGTTAAATATTGTTAATCCCCCTTAAGGATTATTTCTGTCCCTCATCTGTCTGTTTTCATTGATTTTTTTTTTAATATCAAGTAGTCTAGCATAATACATTAGCATTTCACACATAGTATATATCCAGTAAGTTATTGTCAAGTTAGTTTTCAGCCTGGGAATAGGCTGTTGAACATTTGTCATAACATGACTTGTTAGTTGAATTCTTTTTTTAAATAATTATTTATACCTTATTTATTTATTTTGCTTTATTTGGCCAGAGAGGGACAGAGTAAGAGAGAGAGAGAAGGAAAGATAGAAAGCAAACTGCCAGGTCCAGGACTCAAACTTCAGTGGGCCATGTGTGAGTCCAGCATCCTTAACTGCCAGCCACCTACTGGCCCCTCGTTGAATTATTTTTAAATGAAGGATAGAGATGGATAAAGATTTGCATTCATATAGCCCAGAATTGAATTTTTATTAACATGTTCTTTATGACTTTTAAAAAATCTTGTCATTAAATTTACTTTGAAATTGATCTTTCGTAAGTGTAGGAAAATTCATTTAGGAGATGTGAGTATTTTCTTCTGGTCTCTGTTTTACCTATAGCAAAAAAAAAAGTGTTTAAAAAAAGCGTTTTGTCCTCTTTGAGATTACGGATGGAGGGCTCCTTTTGAATATCATTTCATTCTTGAAGGAAAGCTTTAGTTAAGAAAAGTTTTAGACTGGAAGTGTGCCATGTAAACTAGTATTTATTAGAATTGGTATAGTTTTCATTTGAAAATTTAATATTGTATTCAATGATCTTTTCTAGGGTTGTAAATCTCTGTAGAAATGTAAAAGAAAGAATAACAAGAGAATGCAAAGAGAAGGGTGTTCAGTTTGCGCCCCTTTCTACATGCAGGTGAGTTCTTTTATTGTTCAAATATTCCTTATTTTGGGAAAAACTGTTTTTTTTAATCAGTGGGAAACATAATTTGGCAGTTTAGAAAAAGCTTTAGTCTATTCTACTTGGCACGCTTTCCTTTCTCTTAACACTTTATCCGGATTGTGATGCTAGGATTTTCTGAGAATCCTGAGCCTACAGGAGTTGGATACACTTCTGTGAGGGAGCCTTCTACTTTATCTGGACAGAATGACAGTGTAAAGGGGTCTGAGCTTCTGAAGAAAGAGGCCTCTTTTATTCACTGAAATTATCAGTAATATAATAGACAAGAAACTGTAAGTTGTATAGTCAGCATAGCTTTTTGAGAGGGACAGAAAGTGTGTGTGCTTGCCAGAGAGACTGAGAGAGAGAGGAGGGGATAAAGAGGGAGAAAGCACCTTCCACGGGGAATGGTCAGACCATAATCTCATCCCCATTTCTCCATCCTGGTTGTGATTTGGGGCACACATGTTAACATACCTGGCATGTTTTCCAAGCTGTGAATGCTGGGACTAAAACTGCATAGTTGACCCTGCAGGACCCTGCTCCCTTAATTACTAGACCAATATAGTTCTTTACTAGAGAAAAACCACTTTCATCATTTTAGTTGCTGATGAAATGTAAAGAAATGAAATAAAGAAATGATAAGAGCAAAAGATCCAAGTGACAGTTAACTTAGTGATTCCTAATTTTTCTTTGCTAATGACAGTATTCAGTATCTGTACTATGTAATATGGTAGCTACAAGCCGTGTGTGTGTGGCTACTGAGTGATTGAATTATGACTAGTGTAAACTGTGGAACTGAATTTTAAATTTTATTTATTTTTTAAAGTAATTTAAATTTAATACGTCACATGTGATTAGTATTTTTCATATTAGATAGTACATGGTTAACTGATGATCCCATTGGAGGTTTTTTTTTGAAAGGGCTAATTTGTACTCCTATCTTTTGATATCAGTTTTCTATGTAAACACCAGGATATTAAATGTTTCAAGATTAACTTGAACATTTGACTTCTTTAAAAAGTTATTGGATTAATTGAAGAAGAGAATAAATGGAAATCATAATATAACACAAGAAGGGGAAAACTTAAAATAAGTGATATAGTAATAATCTGGCAATTTAAAATGTATTGATCGCAGCTGGCAGGTGGCATAGTGGTTAAGGCACTAGACTCCCACATGGCTGACTGTGTTCAAGTACTGTACCTGGTGGCTTGCTTTTTCACTTTCTCTTTCTTTCTCTTTCTCTCCGGTCAAATTTAAAAAACAATAATAAATAAAATAAAGTAATGCTTTTAAAAAATAAAATATATTGATCTTTCTGTACCATTTAATGTGTCACTCTTTTCCAAAACTCTTAGTGTATCATGAAGGTATCCTTTTTTTTTTTGGAGAAGTTTTTGCTATAGGTCGCGTGCGCTTGCCAGAAAGACAGAGACAGACAGAGAGACAGAAAGGAAGAAATCACCCCCCAGGGGGTCAGCCACACGGCAATCCCTTCTTCTCCTCTTGGGATCTTGGGCATGCATACACATATGCCCAGTGTGAGTTTAAGCCACCGGGTCCGTGACTTGAACTGCGGTCGGCTACATGGGAGTCCAGCGATATAGCCATTATGCCAACTGCTGGTCCCCATGAAGGTATCCTATTAAGCCTACATATTCATCGTGATATTTTGACATAGCATTAAAATTTGCATGTATTTGTTTTGCAGGACTAGAAATAGCTCTGTACTTTAAAAACTGATTCCTCTTTTGTGTTTTTAAACTTTTTTTCTTTACTCTTTTACACTGTTTCATATTATTCTCCTCTACTACCATGTTTTATTTCTTAGTTCTACTTAGTGTTCTCATTGGGGGAGGTATGCCTTAGAACTTGCACCATTGTGCTTGTGCAGGGTAAGAAAAAATAAATTTCTTTTAAAAAAATTTCTGCCAGATAGCACGTGCACTTGCCAGAGATACACACTGGAAGGAAGTGAGGGAAGTGAGAAAGTTCTGCCACAGGCTATCTCTTCTCCATTTCTCATTTTGGGATTTGGGGTACACATGCACATGCACCCAGCTTGTTTCTCACTCCAGGATCCAGGACACAAACTGTATGATCAGCCACAGGGAAGCTCACTGCCTTGACTACCAGGCAGCGGACAGGCCTGAAAGTGAATTGTAACATAAGATATGAGGAAATAATCTTTTTTATACCTTAACTGTTCATTTCAGTCAGAAGGGGTCTCCTTGAAATAGTCTTTTCTGTTTCAGTGTGAGAGAGACTGTCAAGTTTGATGAGCATTGCAGAAAGTACCAAGTCAAGTCTGTGTATTAACAGGTTTTAATACATTTAATACAAGTACATTAGGGATAGAATCAGAGAATGTAAAAACTAAAAAAGTGATTTTAGAGATTATTGGCTGGTATTTAAGGCATCTGAAGAGGGGTAAATAGAGGCCTCATTCTATTTTATAAAAAGCTTATAACTTAGTAAAACTAATGGTGGCTTAGTGATTGACCTGGGAGAAAACCTTTCCAACTGATGGTATAAGAATGTACATGTTATTGGGGCCAGCAGGCGGCATGGTGGTTAAGGTGCTGGAATTCCCACATGACGGCCATGGTATGAGTCCTGGACCTGGCAGCTTACTTTCTTACTCTCCCTCTCTCTCTTTCTTTCTCTGGCAAAATTCGTGTGAAAAATAATATTAACAATAATAATAAATAAATCATTCTTTTTTTAAAAAAAAGAATGTACATGTTACTTTTTTTCTTTTTTTTTTTAATTTGAGGATATCTTTTTTTTTTTCTTAAAGAGAGATATTTTTGCTATAGGGCACGTACGCTCGCCAGAGAGTCAGAGACAGAAAGTGAGAAATCACCCCCTAGGGAAATCACCCCTTCTCCATTCTCCTCTTGAGATTTTGGGGGCATGAGCACATACACACAGAGACACACAGCTGGCCTGGGACTCGAACCACCATTGACTACATGGGAGTTCAGCAACATAACCACTATGCGATCTACTGGTCCTATCTTTTTTTTTTTTTTAAATATATATATATTTTTGTCTTAAGGCATGTGTACTCATTGGAGGGAGACAGAGACAGAGAGAGAAAGTAAGAAATCACCCCCTCAGGAGATGGCCACTCTGCAGTCCTCCTGGGATCTTAGGCACACATGCACATTCCCCTGGAATGATTTTTAAGCCACTAGCTCCTGAACTTTAACCACTGTCAGCCATGTGGGAGTCCAGCGATGTAACTGATATGTTATCTGCTGGCTTCAAACCTTCTACCTTAAAATCCTCAAAAATCTAAAAAAAAAAAAAAAAAAAAAAAAAAGATGTCTGTTTATATTATCAACCCAAATTGATAGCTGGTTCTTCTCTTGACAGACAATCCCAGTCTGTCAAGCCCATACTTCCTCCACCCACTGCCTGATTTTTTTTTGTTTTTTTTTGTTTTTAGTTTGTTTTGTTTTGTTATGAGAGAGGGAAAAAGAGTGGGAAAGGGAAAG